ATGTACAAAATGACCAGAAGACTTATTATTTATATACTGAGATGGTAATTTCAATTCTTTGTACTTAGACATGTGTGTTCGTTAATTATAAGTAGTAATAGCTCTGTTCTGATGTTTTCATACTTCAATTTCTGATCTGCAGGATTATAGTGTTTCTCTCCCTGTGATTTGAACTGGTTCAGATTTTATATGTTCCAGTTTGAGTACCCTTTTTTTACTGGGCACTTTGTTATCCACAATACATACTAGTTATAAAAATGATAGATCACAGGGTGGAGCTGCTTCAGAGAATGCTATAGAGAAGTTCTGTACTACTTGTGATTTGTAAACAGGCTTGAGAATTGGAAATGGTCATACAAACATCATAGCATGTGAAGACTTAGTGACCAGCATAAGCACTAGTAAGTTGGTTTCTCTAGACTTTTAGGGGTGAAAGGCAGTAAGAAGAAATAAAACTTCTGTGCCAACAAACTTGTACTCAGGAACAGACGATGAAAAAGGGGTAAGGTGCCTTTGGTTGTTGTTGTGGTGGTGGTGGTTGTGTGTCATTGAGTCATTTCTGACTCATATCAACCCAGTATAGGGATTCTGAGGCTGTAAACCTTTACGGGAGCAGATAGTCATTTCTCCCAAGGAGCACCTGGTGGATTCGAACTGCTAACCTTTTGGTTAGCAACTCAATGCATTCCTGGTAGGAGTTAGAAAAAGGCAATAAAACATATTTTTTCAAGGGGGAGTGTCCTGATTATGTTTATATTTTAGGATGATTTGATCACATTATAGTTGGAAAGACCCCGTCTTTGTGTGGAAAACAGATTTTAGGGTGGGGAGAAAAAAATCAGCATGTTATTTTAGTAGAAAAGGTAAAAGTTGATAGATGCCTGAACAAAGGCGGTGTGACTGGCATGAAAATGATGGGATGTGCTTAAGTAATAGTTTGGCCAGCTCTCAGGTTTATTATCTTTGGTGTGGTTCTGTTCACTAAACTGGAGAGGATTAGGGGAGGCTCTGGGAAAAGCATTCATGAATTACATGTGGCCATGTTGAATCTGAGTGGACTCTGTGCATCAAAATTGAGCTGTCCAGTAGGAAGTTAAGTTTATTTTAAAGTGATTGTGAGATGCTCCAACGGATTTTAAAAACTGGCAAAAAAAGTTAAGGAAAAATAAAGTTAGTATAAAGTAAGAAACTAATGTGGTCAAAAGTATCTAACCACATGGAGATAAAGTTTTAAAAGTGTTGATTGTATTTGGTATCTGAGGGATATTGGTTGGCCTTTCTCAGAGAACTTTCAGTAATGGTGAGGGATAGAGTTGAAGGTGCTTCTTTAGGTGACAGTAAAGAATGAATGGGTGGTGAAAATTTGTTAACACTGAATATAGAATACTTGTCCTAGAAGTTTGAATGTGAATGGAAAGAGGGTTTGCATTAGGTCCAAGATTTAAGATGAGTACTTTGGTTAGAAAACTAGTGGAGAGGACTTGAAAATAGAGCAGATAGCTATGGGTAGTAAATAATTAACCATGAGCCCAGACAGGAAAATACAAGATGTGAGCCCGAGTGCAGGTAATAGAGATTGACTTCAAATAGGAGAAAGGGGAGGTTCGTCTCTAAAAACTAGAGGAAGTAGACCAGGAAGAAAAACTGGGTGAGTGCTGGTTTAGGTAATGTGGGGGCCAGAGTTCTTTTCTCTGATTTTCTCAGTTTCTTTAGAGACATGTAGGAGGTTGGGTTATGTGCTGAGAGATAGCAAGATCTTGGTCTTAAGGCAAGTTGCAGATAATTTAAGTAGGCTATTTGAAGGTCAAAAGTTACTGTTTACTTATTTTAAATTCTTATCCACATAAGAATTGTCTGTCAAAGTTGTAAACCTGCTGCGGTTGTTACTAAATGCTATGGAGTTGGCTCCAGTGCATAGAGACCTTGCATAGGGTTTGGAGGGGAACGACTGCCATGTTTGAACCATCAACCTTGTGGTTAGCAGTCCAGTGTTTATACTACAACACCACACCAGGATTCCATAAAGCCTGCTGAAGCTGTGTTACTTTGTGAAAGCTGATTTTAAATTAAGTATGTATTTATTTATGCAGATGAAAGCATGGAACTTTATCCCAGAATTTACTTTTTTTCATACCTAACAAAAAATATTAAATTAAAACTTACACAAGAAAAGGGATATGTAAGGTGCCTTTGGTTGTTAAGGAATTGTTGTTGTTGTTAAATATCATCAAGTAAATTCTGACTCATAGCAACCCTGTATAGGCTTTTCAAGGCTGTAAATCTTAGTGGGAGCAGAAAGCCTCATCGTCTCCTGTGTTAAGGAATTAAGAGAAAAGCGCATTAAACGGTTAATCTTTATGTCATATTTGGTTGGAAATTTTTGTGCATTTTTTTCTGGGTACTATTTAGTAAAGCTCTGAAATTGATAAGATCTTACAAAATTTTGTGTCTTTCAGCTTTGGGCAACTAAGAGCATCAGGCTTATATTTGGGTATTTTGTACAAAAGTTACTTTGTGTTCCAAGGAACCCTGGTGGCATAGTGGGTCACATGTTGGGCTGCTAACCACAAGGTTATTAGCTCAAATCCACTAATCTCTCTGTGGGAGAAAGAGGAGGCTTTCTGTTTGTTCATTTAAAGATACACAATCTCAGAAACTCTACATACGGTTACTATGAATCTACTCAGTGGCGATGACTTGCTTTGGTTTGTTTTGGTCTTAGTATTAATACAGAATGCTTAGTTTTAGTGTATCCGTTGAAGTTGAACTTGAATTGAGTGTCTTGAATTGCTCTGTGTTCGCATTAAGCACAAGCGTATTCATCATATCTCTTTTACTAAAATAGGTTCCTGACATGGCAGGCTATCCTCACATCCGTTACATTTCATCAGGATTGGATGGAACATCATTCAGAGGTCCTTTCAGGGGAAATTTTGAGGTATGTAATGACATGTAGATTCTTGCCATAGTATCTTTAATGAAATAGTATATCCACAGGGTACTACCAAAAATTAAAGCCAGATTTAGAAGAGGGCCTGGAATGAGGAATATCGGTGCTGATGTCAGATGATTATGGCTAACAACAGAGAATACCAGAAAGATGTTTACCTGTGTTTCATTGACTATGCAAAGGCATTCACCTGTGTGGCTCATAATAAATTATGGTTAATAATTGTAAAGAAAGATAATTCCAGAACACTTAATTGTGTTCATGTAGAACCTATGCATAGATCAAGAGGCAATCATTGGAATAGTGCAGAGGTTTACTGTGTGGTTTAAAATTGAAAAGGTTTGTATAAGGGTTGCTTTCATTATACTTAGGCAGTCTGTATGGTGAGCAAATAATCTGTGAAACTGGACTATAGGAAGAATGTGGCATCAGGGTTGGAGGAAGACTCATTAATAACCTGTGATATGCAGATGACATTACCTTGTTTACTGAAAGTGAAGAGAATTTGAAAATATTTTATGGTGAAGATCAAAGAATACAGCTTTCAGTATGGATTACACTTCAACATAAAGAAAATAAAATCCCAGAGTGAAATTGTTGTTGTTAAATGCCATCGAGTTAATTTTGACTCATAGTGACCCTGTATTCCAAGGAGTGTTTGGTGGGTTTGAACTGCCAACCTTGAGGTTAGCAATCCAGTACTTATTTTACAGTGCCTCGTTACAAAAGGACAAATATTGTATGAGCCTGCTGTTGTAAAAAGTTCAGAAAAGATTTTCTTGATAAAAGAAATAATCTATAATGGTTACCAGGGCTGGGCGGTAAGAGAAAATTATTCCTGGGCAAGAGGGTAGACACATGTTAGCATGGGTGATGGAGCAGGCAATATACAGCAAGAGAGAAATTGGTAAAGGAAAGATGAAGGTATCAGGAGCTACAGGGAGCTGTGCAGGAGTTAAAGAAAATAGAGTTAAGTACTGGTAACTAATGGGACATGGAGGGGATTGCAGTCTTTGAAATAAAACTAAGTGTATGGTTTGTAGAATGTAAAACTGATAATCTGCTCTGTAAACCTTGACTCAATCCTCAGTACAAAGTTAAAAAAAAAAAGAAGAAATTATTAGAATAAACGAGTTTAGCAAAATTGCAACTTATAAGATCAGTATGTGAAAATTCATTGCATTTTCATACACTTTCAATGAACAATTTGAAAATGAAAAAATACCATTTATGTGTATGATTTGTTGAATGTAAAACTGATTATCTTTTCTGTAAATCTTCACAATAAAATGTTTTTATAATAAATGTTATTTAAAATTTTTACCATTTACAACAACAGCAAAAATATTAAAATACTTAGGAATAAATTTTTTAAAAAAACCTTTACCACTGTACCAATAAACAACATCATGGTAAAACTGAAAAGATTGAAGTTGTCAAAGATTTAATTTTACTTGGATTCACATCAGTGCCCATGGAAGCAGCTGCCAAGAAATCAAACAACGTATTACATTAGGAGAATCTACTGCAAAAGACCTTTAAAAAGTGTTCAGAAGCAAAGATGTCACTTTGAGGATATAAAAAATCAAGTCATCTCATATTCATGCAAAAGCTGGAACTGAATAAGGAAGATTGATGAATTGATTATGTTGTTGAAAAATATTGAATATGGCCTGGACTGCCAGAAGAACAAACAATCTGTCTTGGAAAAAGTATAGCCTGAATGCTCCTTATGAGATGAATGTTCATTTCATGTACTTTGCATATGTTATGAGAAGAGCTAAGTCTCTGGAGAAGGATTTTATGCTTAGTAGGATGCTAGAGGGTCAGTAAAAAGGAGGAAGACCCTTTTGAGATTGGTTAACGACACAATTGCTGCAACAGTGGGCTCAAACATAGTAACTACTGTGAGGATGGCACAGTATTGGGCATTGTTTCATTTTTGAACAGGGTTGCTATGAGTCTGAATCAACTCGATGGTACCTAGCAACAATACCTTTAATCCAGAAAAGGCATACGATACGAGGGGGCTTCAGAAAGTTCATGGAAAAATGGAATTAAAACATAGTGGAATTTTTCCAAGAATATTTTAAAGTCCCATAATGTGTACTCTCAGATTCCTAGTGTGGTGCTATAGGATCAGCACCGGACTATGAACCACAAGGTCAGCAGTTCAAACTTACCAGCTGCTCCTTGGAAAACCTATACAGGGTCACTATGAGTTGGAACCTACTTGGTGGCACTTTACGACAATATTAATATGCACTATGAGTATTCACAATTGAATAAGAACCGTACTTGTTCTTGTCAAGTCGATTCTGGCTCACAGCAGTTCTAAAGGACAGTGTATATATAATTGTCCTCCAGGGTCTCCAAAGCTGTAAATATTGATGGAAGCAGACCTTTTGCTTAGTAGCTGAGAGCTCTTAACCACAGTAGACCAGGGTTCATTAGGAATGTAGTAGGGGCTAGGCAGTAGAATATCTGAGGTGTCACAGTGGTTAAGCTTTGCCCTGAAAAGTGAGTTGTTAGAACCCGCCATCTGTGGCTGTTCCCACAGGAGGAAAGGCTTGGCCATCTGCTCTGGTAACCCTGTGGACAGTTCTACTCTTTTCACAAAGGGTTACTATGAGTTGGACTTGATTCAACAATAAAATGTCTGAATTTCTGATATTGTTCCTGGGTTTATTATAGAAAGATTTATAAGCAGCATCAATTTTAGGGTCAAAAATTCCTCAAGTATTCAAAGAAGAGTAAGTAAAAATATCTGATAGAAAAGAATGTAGAGATAGGAGCAGGGCTGAGCTTCAGTTGGTCAGTACTGCGCTGCTCTGGTGTGCTGAGTAAAGAGCTCTTTCTAGGCCAACAGTCTCAATGGCGATTTATCAGTTCTTTCTTCAAGACTGGTGCTGATTTGGAGAATGGTGCTATAATGAATATCCTGGTTCCAGGGGCACAGGTAGGGTACACGGGATGGGGAATGGCAGCAACCTCAGCAACAGCCCTCAGGAAGGAACGGCGGGGGTGGATGGAATGCCACTAGTGAGACACTCCAGTGTGATTCAGCCAATCTAGCTTCTCTAAGGAAAGATAAATACGTGACTGGAAATGAAATGACCCTACTAAAATACCAGTGGGCCATGGAAGAAATAAAAAGTTGAAGTTAAAAAGCTACTTTACACCTATGAAAGTGGTAACAAAACCTTAAGTAGTTGTGAAACACTACTCAGTGAAAATCAAAGATATAATAATACGAATAGGTCAGTTTACATTTTTACTGTGTTGATATTTGTATTCATGATACAAAAAACACTGAGTCAAAGTGCTAGACTCTTCGCCCAAAGCAAAAATGATAATGAAAAAAAAAAAACAAAACATATATATATATTCTTTAAATGCCAGCTTCACTTAAGAATGTAGTTGGTGAAGAGATAATTGTTTTTTTTTTAAGTTTTGTCTCCAGAGTACGCATCTTTTTAGAATCCTATATGATAAAATGAGAGGGTTAGTTACTGTGCTTTGCTGCACGTCCAAAAACAACTGACAGTGTTTATTGTCATGACAAAATGCAGAAATTACCATTATGGATAACTGTGAACTTGGCAACCTCTCATCAGATGAGAGATGGTGACATTGACAAATGTGAACCTTTCTAATGTTTATTGTCATATACTTTTAGAAGTTTTGCATTACGTGTTGAAGCAATATTTTCCATATGATATTATAGTTGTTGGTGGTTATGTGCTATGGAGTCAGTTCTGACTCATAGCGACCCCGTACAGTGTTTCTGAGGCTGTAAATCTTTATGGGAACAGAAAGCCTCATCTTTGTCCCGTGGAACAGCTGGTATTTTCGAACTGCTGACTTTAAGGTTCGCAGCCCAGTTTGTAACCACTACACTAACGTAGCTAATGTAATAGAACTAAAAGTTTATTAACTTTACTTTGAGTCTTCATTTTAGCTCATCTTAGAGAAACTACCATATGTCAAGTTTTAGTGTAATATCCAAGAAGGTATTCACTGTTACCTTGGTGGTGGTGGTGGTTAGATAGTGTTAAACTATTCCTTTTCTTTTTAGCCCAAAAATATCCCCTGAAGTTTTAAAAATCAAACTGATTAGCTTAGCTAGAAAAGAATGTCTGCTTGAGCATTTTGCTCTTTAGAACTGTATGGGATCATATTGACAACAGGAATTCAAAAGATTAGATAGAAACCTTATGGGAAAGTAAGTTTGTTAATGGGGGAGGAACAATTTAGAAAAGAAGGGCGAGAGTGGTTGTACAGCTCAAAGAATGTAATTGTTGTTGTTATGTGCCATGGAGTAGGTTCCAACTCATAGCGACCCTATACAGGGTTTCTGAGGCTGTAAATCTTAACGACACTAAATTGTACATATTAGACAGTTGGTGTATGTTTCATCAAAATAAAGTAAGATTTCTTTTTAATTATGTAAAAAATATAGAAATTTATTATATCAATATAAATATCAAATATGTGCTATCAAATGTGGGAGAAGTGATCAAAATAATTTTTCATTGTGAATTGCATAAAGGTTTACAGAGCAAATAATTTCATACAAATTTTGTCTCATGTCATTAATTGCAATCCCTACACCCCACTTCTACCCTGTGTATCCTGTTTGCATTCTTTGGAACCCGTCCTGCCTTCATAACGTCCTTGGGAGAATACTGGCCTTTTGATCTTGAATGATTGATTGGTCTAAGGACTGGGTACCTCCCTAGTGTTGTTTTTCACTTTATAAACCTATTTATTGTTTGTCTGAAAATTGTGCTGTGGGGGTGAGATCAGTTCTAAGTCAGTCAGTGAACAAGGGTCGTAGCGCCAAGAATTCCACCAGTCTCTCTCAGACCAGTAAGTCTGGCCTTTTTGATTTCTGAGTTTTGTTCCACATATTTCTTTTGCTCTATTTGTTGTGGTTGTTCAATGCCGTCAAGTCGGTTCCAATTCGTAGCAGCCTTGTGTAGCGTTTTCCAAGGAGCAGCTGGTGAGCTTTAAATGCTGACCTTGGGCTTCAAACTGACCTTACAGTCCAGAGCAGTTGGTAGTGGTAGCCGGGCACCATTCAGGTGTTTCAGTTATCAGTGCTTTTAATTGCTCTTAATATTTTGAAAAATGTTGCTAGAGGAAAAGAAACCCTAGTAATTTATTTTGCAGCTCATTATCTTGTCATCTAAATTGTCAAGGGAAAAAAAATCAATTAAATATAATGGTTTTATTTATTCATCTAAATTTGGAAGTGGTGTTAAAGTTTAATATTATAGACCTTTGACTTATTAACTGGTATTTTTTGCTGTTTTTATTGTAATGTTTATATATGTGTGTGTGTATATCGATTTGTTGTTGTTAAGTGTTGCTGAGTCAGTCCCAACTCATAGCAACCCTATAAGGAGTGGTTGGTGGGTTTGAACTATTGACCTGTGGTTCAAACTGACATGCAGCCCAGTGCTTATCCTACAGTGCCATACCAGGACTCTGTATAAATGTGTATATATAAGGAGCTGTGGTAGTGTAGTGGTTATGAGTTGGGCTACTAACCTCAAGGTCAACAGTTCAAAACTACCAGTCATTCCACGGGAGAAAGATGAGGCTCTCTGTGCCTATAAAGATTTATAGTCTTGGAAAACCTATACAGGGTTGCTATGAGTCAGAACTTGTTGAATCCTCGGCATACAACAACAAAAAATACGTGTGTGTGTATATTTATATACATATGTAGAGAGAGTGTATGTCGTGTGTGTGTGTGTGTGTGTGTGTGAAAGTAAGTGAGTGAGTCCTGGGTTAATGCACTGGACTGCAAGGTCGGTTTGAACCTCAAGGTCAATGGTTCAAGCTCACCAGCCACTCCTTGGGAACCCTATACAGGGTTGCTATCAGTCGGAACCAACTCAATGGTACTTAGCAGCAACATATTGTTGCCCTAATTTGTAAGGATAATTTTCTCATAGACTGTCAGTTGGCTAAGGAAAATATGCTAAACACCTAATATCTACATAAGAAACAATCACATAAATGGTCATTTATTTTATATAAAAAGTTTTTTTGAACACTGTATATTTACTTGGGACTCTTGGTGTGGAGCTGTAGGATCAGCCCTGAACTGTGTGAACCACAAGGTCAGCAGTTTAAACTCACCAGCTGCTCCTTGGAACTGACTCAGTGGCACTTAACAATAACAGCATATTTGCATTGTAAATTTGTAAATGTAAAAGTTTATTGCTTTTCCAATAAAGATATTACCTGTCAAAGAATAACCATCCTGACATGTAATACTAGTTTTTCTTCACTTTCAGGAACTGATTCATTTGGAAGAACGATTAGGAAATGTCAATCGTGGAGCATCCCAGGGGACAATTGAAAGATGTACATACCCACATAAATACAAAAAGGTAAGAATTGATTCTATGTAACTTTTAGGTAGAACTGCCCCATAGGGTTTTCACAGCTTTTACAGAAACAGATTGCCACATTGTTTTTCCACAGAGCCGGTTTGAGGTTCAAACTGCTGACCTTTAAGCTACCAGCTGAGTGCTTAACCACTACTCCATGCCCCCACCCCACTGCCCTCTAGTTGATTCTGACTCAGAGTGACCTTATAGAGTAGAGTGGAAGTTCCCCCAAAGAGCAGCTGATGGGTTCCAACTACCGATCTCTTGGTTGGCTGCCAAGCTGTTTAACTACTGTACCACCAGAGCCCCTGATGTCACTGAAATGCTTAAAATGTAATATTATAGACCTCCTTTGAGTTTTTGCAGCTACATTATTATTAAAGCCATACAGTGTTCGTTTTTATTGGTGAAATCATGGTTAAGAATTTGTTGGTAAATCCCATATTATGCATCTACAATAATGTCATGTGTATATATTTTTCCTTAGAGCTCTGGTAGTTTAGTGGCTACAGAATCGGGCTGCGAACCGCAGGGTCAGCAGTTGGAAACTACCAGCTCTTCCGCGGGAGAAAGACGAGGCTTTCTGTTCCCATAAAGATTTGCAGCCTCGGAAACCCTGTACAGGGTCACTATGAGTTGGAACCACCTCCACAGCACATAACAACAATAACAAGAAGACTTACTAAGAACACAAATGAGATGAAATCATCTGCAAAGCTTTGCATGAATTCTATTCTTTTCAGTAACTAAAGAATGCCAGTGTATGACAGTAACCGTATTTGTTGAACTAGTCCCTTATTTTGATGGATATTTAGTTGATGTCTCTTTCTTATGCTCCAACCTCAATCTCTAATGTAGTATATTCCATCTGGAAGTTATGGAGCAGATATGCTAAATAAGTTTTTTCAGCAAACCTACCAGCTGCTCGCCTTGGCAATCCTATAAGGTGTCTCTGAGTCAGAACCAGGACTTGAGGGCACTTAACAAATAACAACAACAGGCTATACAGAGAATTTTCTTTTTTAAGTGTGAAAATTATTTGTGTACATTTTCTAGATATTAATTAGGGATTACCACTGAATTTAAGCTCTTAAAACTGTCTAATAAACAAAATACTATTGTGGTGATGTGTCTTGGAGCCAGGTCAGATCCATAGTAACCCTATATAGGGTTTCTGAGGGTGTAATTCTTTACAGCAGCAGAAGGCCTCGTATTTCTCCCAAGGAACAGCTGGTAGATTTGAACTGCTGAAGCACCTTTTGGTTAGCAGCCTAACTCATAACCCACTACACTACTAACACACCTATAATCATCATTAAATTATATGGATGTTATATGAAGCGTTGTTGTTGTGAAGTGCCGTCGAGTTGGTTCCGACCCATAGCGACCCTGTGTAGGGTTTCCAAGGAGCACCTGGTGAGCTTGAACTGCTGACCTTGCAGTTCAAACGTCTATGCAGTCTGGTGCATTAACCCACAGCGCCACACCAGGACTACATTTGAAGCATTAGTAGAATAAAATTTCTTGTGATATAAGAACAAAATTGGAGTTCAGATTATGCATCTGGATTAAAATAGATTATAAATTCATGAATTTCTGTTATATTTGAATTTATGTGATAAAGGGTCTTAAAAGAATACTTAATTGATGACAGTGTACTTAATTCATCCATTAATTAATCATGGACTTAATTGGGAAGCAAAATGTGGGTGAATGTATAGTTTTGTTTTGTCTTGTCTTGTCTTTTGCTTTGTTCTTCAAATAAACACAGACTTTACTCAGTTGTTCAATAATGTCATCTCTACTAATAAGGTAACAACTGATTGGTTCTCACAGAGGAAACTGCACTGCAAACAAGATGGGGAAGAAGGGACTGAGGAAGATACAGAGGAAAAGTGTACTATCTGTTTGTCTATTTTAGAGGAAGGTGAAGATGTGAGGTAACTAGATATTAATTATCTAAATCCATTGCCAAAACAGTACAAGGTATTTTTTTTGAAATTAGACAACAAGTAAAGATAAATTCTGGATCCTCTGTTACCAATCTGTGACTTCTAGAATTATCTTCTTAAAACTCATGAAAAAATAAAAAGATTAACGTCTGTATTTACCACCAGTGGGTTGAAATGGAAATAACTTAGTTGAGGGAAATTATACACACCAAGACCTGGGAGATTATGGGTCAAAAATGTTTCCTGGGTACTACTACCTAACATGCCAGTACTGATCTTTTTCTTCTTTTAATCTAGCATAGAGGAGAATTTTAGACGCTTTGGAATTATTGACACTTAGATCAATGTATTCTCCAAAACATAAATGGGAATTCAGATGAACTGTTTGTTTTATAGCATCTTTTATAAATTGTCCTAAAAACTTTTTTTCCTGACTCATAGTACTATTTCCTTCGTGTACCTTTGTGATTTAGTAAATTTTAAATTATTTGTGCTAAATGAGTATTGATTTCATAGATTTAAAAAAATAGTATTTTAAGTAACTGTTTTGTTCCTATTGTGTGTGTGCATGTGTGTGCTGTATTATTATTATTTTTAAAGCAACACAATCCATATGCAACACAGGTTCTTTAAAGTTCTTTATATAAAAGAACCTTATGATAGTTTTGTTACCTTTATTTGTAAAGATAATTTTGCCATACTTTTCATTTGACTGAGAGAAATAAAACATGTAAATAATTGTGTACCTTACCTATAAAATGTTATTTGAACACTGTAGTTCTGATTGATGGTTTATAAATGTAGGCGTTAATTGCTTTTACATTATTAACAATAAGACAGAACTTCAAAAAGTTCATGGAAAAATTCCATTATCTTTTAATTTCATTTTTTCTTTGAATTTTTTTAAGTCCCCTCATATATAAAGGAGAAATCATTGATAAAGAATTGAAGCACTTATTTTTAGAAAAATATTAGGAAGTCTTAAAATATCACCATTCTTGCCAGTGGATGGAAGTAAATGGACCTCGAGTCAGTAACTTTTATTATACTGTTATACTTAGATTTAATGTTAACCATATCTTGCTGGACAGCTCTCCTTATTCTTCAATTCCTAATTGATTACCTGGTATGATGTACTAAAGTAAGCATATCCTTTTAACCTGCTGATGAGAGAGTAGCACAGTATTAAGTGAATATAATAAGAATCCCATGAAAACAGTGTTAACTCAATTTTAATCAGTCATGTATTTAAATTTAATGTATAAGATCTTCTAGTTAGGAAATGATAATATTGCATATGAAGGCCTTCCTTAATTAGGGTAACTTGACAGCTGTATGTTTATTATTTGAGTTCTCATGTTTTTTAGAGAATTAAATGAGATAATAGATTTTTAATAGTGCTATCAGAACAGAGTTATGATTTTTTTTTATTTAAAAGTATACTTAAAATATTCTTTAACAGCAAAGACAACTGCCCACTTCAGACATTGGAAGTTCACATACAGAAATAAACTGGAGTTACTACCAGTGTAATTATTGCTCTTAATTCTTGATATTATATATAACTTAGTTCCACAGCTGTGACAGTAAAGTTGTCTTAGTCATTTGTACATTATATTGCCCACAGTGCTAATTTGTGTGTGTGGTTCTCCTTAGACAGTTTTATTTACAGAAGAGAAAGATGCCTAATTAATTCAAAACACTACTGAATTATTGCATGTATAATTTTTGTTAAGTCTGTTGAGTTGGTTCTGACTCATATTGACCTGTATAGTGTTTCCAAAGAATAGCTGATGGGTTTATCAAAGTGGCATTGTAAAAGAAGCACTGAACTTAACTGTGAGATCACTGGTTCAAACCCACCACCTGCTCCTTGGCAATCCTATACAGTGTCATTCTGAATTGGAGCCTACTCGATGGCACGTAACAACGACAACACAGCATAATTTTTTTTTAATGCCACTGAAAGTTGTCATAAGCCTAATTTTTACTCTTTTTTTTGTCATTAATAGACGACTTCCATGTATGCACCTTTTCCACCAAGTGTGTGTTGACCAATGGTTGATTACCAATAAGAAGTGCCCCATATGCAGAGTGGACATTGAGGCCCAGCTGCCAAGTGAAAGTTGACACCATGTTTCAGAACTCTTGCCCTCCCTCTCATTCCCATACTTCCTGGTACTGCAGTCAACCAAAGATGGCATGACTTACCTGCGCAGATTTGGAAGCGTTGAACTTCTTAGCGTGCTGGCTCTGCTATATGGTACAACTAATGCTAGACCCACAGTTAATGTATACAGTTGATTTTGATGTATTTATAAAAGCTTTTTTTCTAGATTGGACATTTTTCCTGTATCATTTTACTGTATTTTTGCATGATTCCTTGTATTGCATTTCTTTGCACATATTATGGGCTTGTGACCCTAAACTTGCAGGCAAGATTAGCTGCTTTAGTAAGTAGAATTGTGTGGTCCTTTTGTTTTTTATATAGTACCAGGTCTTGAGAATAATGATTTTTTTAATCCATTACTAACCTTCCTTTAATTTAATCAATCATGTGCTTTAGTTTAATGTATAAAGATCCTCTAGAAAATGATAATATTGTGTATTAAGACATTCCTGAATTAGGACAAAATGGCTGCTGTATATTTCCAATATGGAGCTCTGAGTTAAATATCATCCTTAATACTGGGAACAGAATATGAACCATATTCAGTCAGATGCAGATGTTATTCATATCCCCAGAGTGATCAATATGAATTTTCTTGGTGTATCCTTTTCCTTTCAGCACAGTGCAGATAGAATTGAATATTGACATCATACATTTAGACTGCTGTTCTGATTGTATTTATGTTTTTCCTACATTATTTGGAAATTTATTTCCCTGACTTAATTTTTGCTGCTGTGAAACAGCTCTAATAAACACTAAATATTAATTTCAATTAGCTGGATTGTACATACTTGCAGATTTAACAAAATTTTAGGGAAATTGAAAAAGACATGTAGAATTTTGTTCAGTCTTCTGCTAAGCACGTATAGTTGAGATATCTGCTTATATTGATTTTTTAAAACACATTCAGTCAAAATTTAGAATTGCAGTCATTATTAGCAGGTATCTATGCATTCACAGAACTTCTAAAGGTCCCAGGATCACTTTTAAGGGATTTTTATTAGTTTAAAGATAAATAAAATCAGCTGAATCTACATGTCTCTTGTTTTATTTCTCTCTAAACTTGAAAAACAGTAAATCTGCAGATACTGTGAGGTACAAATTATATTGTCAACCTACTGTTGCTCTGGTTATAGATTCCCATTTCATACATACCAAGAGTCAATCACTGATTTAAAAATTTTAATTTCTATAGTTAAGATTTACTGCATAATATAGAATATAAAGTGAACGTACTAACATTTCTCCTTTGGAGAAAGTTTTAATCCACTTCAGGTTGCGTATTATTATGAAGATATTTCATATACAGGATAGCCTAATTTTATTTGTTTAAATATGCTTAATATGCCCAAGATTGCAAATGCATCCAGTCAGTAATATCACTGTCTGTATGTGGAAGACATGTTCCCATGGATCATATGTGAAGATGTCAATAAGCTTGCATTAAGCCACCTGCTTTGTAAGTGGATTGATTAATAAATAACTTCTATTTCTATTGTCTTTGTGTTTCATAATTAGTTTTTATAGAAGAGTTTACAGTAAACATCTTGGAATTCCAAAAACTGACATTGTCCGAGGAATTGAAGCAGTACTAGTAAGATGGGACTTCACATTGGAGTCCTCATGGTATTCCCCCAAACACAAGTAGCACTGATTGTTGTTAAGTGCCGTCAAACTGGTTCTGACTCATAGCAGCCTGTATAGCGTTTCCAAGAATCTTCACAGGAGCAGAAAGCCTCATCTTTCTTCCACAGAATGGCTGGTGGGCCAGAACCACCGACTTTGCAGTTCGTAGTCCTGTTCTTATCCTATAGTGCCACATACTCTTGTGTATATATGTGTTGTTGTTGTTGTTGTTGTTAAATGCAGAGTGACCCAGAGTGACCCTGAATAGGGTTTCCGAGGAGTGACTGGTGAGCTTAAAGCACCGAGTTAAAACTGTTGAGCTTTAACCCACAGTGCCATGCCAGGACTCCATGTATACATTGCTGTTTACTTCTATCGAGTTGGTTCCGACTCATAGTGACCCTGTATAGGGTTTCCTAGTAGCGGTTGGTGAATTGGAACCACCGACCTTGCAGTTCAAACTGACCTTGTAGTAGTGCTTATCCTACAGCACCATACCAGGACTCCACCACGTGTGTGTGTATGTATATAGTATATATATATAAAATATTGTTAAGTGCCGTCAAGTTGTCCCGACCCATAGCAACCCTATCTAGGTTTTTGAGTAACAGCTGTTGAGCTTGAACTGCCAACCTTTGGTTCAAATCAACTTTGCAGTCCAGCACACTATATATCTCGGTGTATGTGTATATGTGTTGTTAAGTACTGTGGAGTCAGTTCCGACCTGCACAGGGTTTCTGAGCCTGTAAATCTTTACGGGAGCAGAACGCCTCATTTTTCTCCCGCGGAACAGCTGATAGTTTTGAACTGCCGACCTTGAGGTTAGCAGCCCTATTCATAACCCCCCTACGTTACTAGAACTCCTTATGTATATGTATGTATAAGGGTGTATATATATATATAGGTATATATATATATATATATATGGAGCTCTGGTAGCGTAGTGGTTACGAATCGGGCTGCGAACCTTAAGGTCAGCGGTTCGAAACTACCAGTCGCTCCGCGGGAGAAAGATGAGGCTTTCTACTCCCGTAAAGATTTACACCCTCGGAAACCCTGTACAGGGTCGCTATGGGTCGGACCCGACTCGATGGCACTTAACAACAACAACAACAACAACATATATATATATAGCTCTGGTAGCGTAGTGGTTACGAATCGGGCTGCGAACCTTAAGGTCAGCGGTTCGAAACTACCAGCCGCTCCGCGGGAGAAAGATGAGGCTTTCTACTCCCGTAAAGATTTACACCCTCGGAAACCCTGTACAGGGTCGCTATGGGTCGGACCCGACTCGATGGCACTTAACAACAACAACAACAACATATATATAGGTATATGTGTGTATGTATGTATATATAGATACATGTGTGTGTGTTGTTGTTGTTAAGTACTGTTGAGTTGGTTCTGACCCATAGCCACCCTCTGTAGGGTTTCCGAGGAGTGGCTGGTGAGCTTGAGTACTGATCTTGTTGTTCAGACTGGCTTTGTAGTCCAGCACACTAACCCACAATGCCACACCTGGACTCCATATATATATGTAAGTTTATATTAAGGAAATGGCTCACTCACACAGTTGTGTATATGTGGGTAAGTTCAAAGTCTGGGTCTTGTCAGGTTGGATACTTTTGAATCACATATCTATATGGTTGATGAACCCAAGATCGTCAGGTCAAATATCAGGCAGGCAATAAAAGATTGGTTCAAGTCTGAAGAACCAGAAGTCAGATGATGAGCTAGATGCTGGATCCACTCCTAGTTAAAAGCAGCAAGTTTTGCTGTAAACCAAAGCGCACCCACTGCCTTTGACTCAAGGCCAACTCATTGTATCTCTGTCTAGGGTTTCCTAGGCTATAAATCTTTACAGTAGAAGACAGCTTTATTTTTCTTCTGTCTGCTGGTTGGTTTGACCTGCCAGTCATGGTTTTAGCAGTCCACCAGATAGATTTCTCTATTTTTAATATTGTATCAGATTTAGATATACCACAACCTATTGACCTGTTTAATAATTGCTGCTGATTTTCTTTTATGTAGATCAGGGGTGGGGAATGTCCAGCCCACTGGCCATATAAGGCCCTTGAAGTCATTTGGTTTGGTCTTTCCCAAAGCAATTGCAGTTCTAGTTAGCTCAACATTTGACCAAATACAGCAGGCTCATTTTTAAGTTGATAATTTTGTATGGTCCGTGAATGATACTGTAACTGTCCAAATAGTCCTTGGCAGATAAACAGCATTACTTTGAAATTATTTAATGCAAGTATTTGTGGCATACACCTAAATTGTTATGTAGTAACTTATTAAAGTTACTACAGAAAAATGTGATTAGCAATAAACCAAGTAAGGAAGAAAATAATTTTTTTAACATTTTGTGCTTTGTGTGGTGTCTTCCATGCCCTGCTGCATCTTCTGTCAAAATGAAACTGTCAGTGATAACTGTTCAAATACTTTAAAATTAAACTGGTATTTGAAACTTTTCTTATTTTGGGGACTTGAACTGTTGGCACACTTTAAGAATTTGAACCATAACACAATTGACATACAGAAAACTAACTCTGCTTAAAAATAGCATTTGAAACTAGTTGAAACACTGACATTACAATGCAAACTCTGTTGGGTATTTCGTTATTAATTTTTCATGAGTGGTAATAATTCCATTCTGCAGAAAATACTTCCTCATTTTTAACTCACCTCCCCAAACCTCTGCTAACACACTCCTTTTTTTTTTTTTTTGGTACAGAATAATGAAGATTTCATGTGTTTTACCACTAAATGAACAAGGTAGAATACCTTGATTCGATCATAAATTTTATTTTCTTGAATCAGGAATTATTTCCAAAGTAATTAAGGAAAAGCAATGTTACGTGTTCTGTTTTGTGGTTGGGCCTGCTGAGGAGTCTCCCTCCTATCTTGCTTGTGTTATGGACAAATCTGCATGCAACATAAATGCTTTTTTGAAGTGGTAGAAAGAATAAGGCTTTGGAGTCCTAAAGGTTGTTAATTATGCAACTTTGAACTTTTTGAGTCCCAACTGTCTCCTCTACAAAATAGAAATAAATGCTACCTCTAAGGATTCTTAATAGGTTTAAGTGAAATAGTGAATGTAAAATGCTTTTCATAGAGCAGATAAGAATTCTTTCCTCCCTAGGCTGCTGCCATTCCAACCCACCACCCAAATCCCCTTGCCTTTGATAACGAATAGGTAGTAGTAAAATGTTGAACTCTAGGTCAGTTTTGGTTGCTAACTTTTCTCTTACCTGGAGTCCAGGCTACTGATTACTACTAATCAATGGAGAAAAGATTGAAGTTGTCAAGGACTTCATTCTTTTTGGATCAACTATCAACCTTCACGGAAGCAGCAGTCAAGAGATCAGACGACACACTACATTGGGCACAGGAACTTTTTAAAGTGTTGAAGAGCAGAGATGTCAGCTTGAGGACTAAGGTGCGCCTGACCCAAGCCATGGTATTTTCAATAACCTCATATGGATGCGAAAGCTGGATAGTGAATAAGGAAGATCGTAAAAGAATTGATGCCTTTGAGTTGTGGTGTTGGAGGAGAATACTAAAAGTGCCATGGACTGCCAAAAGAACCAATAGATCTGTTTTGGAAGAAGTGCAGCCAGAGTGCTCCTTGGAGGCCAGGATGGCTAAGCTTTGTCTCTCATACTTTGGACATATTGTCAGGAGGGAACAGTCGCTGGAGAAGGATGTCATGCTGGGTAAGATGGAGGGTCAGAGAAAAAGAGGAAGACCCCCAATGAGATGGATTGGCCAGGTGGCATCATTGATGGCATCAAGTGTGGCAACGGTAGTGAGGTTGGCCCAGGATAGAACATTGTTTCGTTCTGCTGTGCATGGAGTTGCTAGGAGTCGGTTCTGACTCGATGGCACCTGACAACAACAACAACAATTATGAGATAAGATCTCTGCAGCCCTATTAATAGGTTGGAATTTTTCTTATACTACATAGGTTACAGGAGCAGTGGACTACATAGTTACAGCGTGGGACTGCGAACCACAAGGTGGGTGGTTTGAGCCCACCAGTCACTCTGTGGGAGAATGATGACACTTTCTGCTACTGCAAATACTTAAAGCCTTGGAAACCCTATGCAGGGTCACTGTGAGTCAGAACCAACTCCACAGCACTTTAAAACAACAACACTGACAGTGTGGGCTAGGCATTGGCCTGTTAACTGCATGATCTGCAGTTCAAACCCACCATCCCTGCCACAAGAGAAAGATGAGGCTTTTTGCTTCCACAAAATTGTACAGCCTCAGAAATCCTATACACGGTTGCTCTGAGTCAGAATCGACTTGATGATGATGGGCTTGGGCATAGAAATGAAAGATGCCCAGCACTTGGTCACTTATAGCCTGGCAAACCCTTTATGGGTTCACTGACTCAGTGGCATACACCACCACCACCACCACCACCATTGAACTGCCTATGTTGTTGTTTTAACTTCTGCTACGTAGATTGATGGAGTCCTGGTGTGGCGCTGTGGGTTAATGTGCTTGAGTGGAAGGTCAGTTTGAACCACAAGGTTGGTGGTTCAGGGTCACCAGCCACTCCTTGGAAGCCCTATACAGTGTTGCTATGAATGGGAACTGACTCGATGGCACCTAACAACAACAATTTAGGCTGATACTCTTATCACAGGAAAAGCACATGGAAGATGTGACCTTCCAAGAGAAGCTTGGTGTAGCCCAAACAAATTACATGATTATGAATCCTTTCCTAGGCACTTAACAACTACAGAATCACTATAGAGAATGGATTGGATTCATGAAATAATTTTCATCGTGTACCCTACTGACTTTTGAGTACAAATCACTGAATCGGTTTTGCTTTAACCTTGTTAATACTCTGTGTGGA